TTTCTCACTTCCTCCCTCTCTCTCTCTATCTCCCTTTCTCTTTGTGGGCATGCACGTGTCCTGTAGCAAATTTAAAAAAAAAATAATAATTCTCCCTGGTAGTAAACTGTCCTCTGGACGTATCTCATAGGTAAGAAATGCTCCTTAAAGGAGAACAACAGCAAAAAACATCTGCCTGAAGCACGGATCTGGCTGCAGCTGGGCCGATAACCCCCAGGTGGCACTGCGCTAGTTTCCTCACCTATTGTGCTACATGCTCTTGAAGATCCTTCCACCTCTGATGCAACCTGGGTGAGAATTTCTAATTTCATACGTTCGAATCAATATTGAAAAATCTAATTCTTGCTATAAATTCACTGACACATGTAAGGCATGATGTTAGGTACGGGGGACACGGCATTTAAGAGCAGTCAGGTTCAATGCCCTTAACGACAAATAGTAACTAATTCAATAATTATATAAACACAACTGGGATAACTGAAAAGTAGTTGGAGCTATGACATTGTGTGAGGGCACCTCAAGAAACAAGGAAATAACACTTAGCGGTAGCCGGTGGCATGGTGGCTGGGGTGGCTGGGTGTCAGCTGGCTGCTGAGCAGTTCAAGTCCTAGAACTGGTGGCTTGGAAAACTCTGTGTGTGTGTGTGTGTGTGTGTGTGTGTGTGTGTGTATACGCATGTGCCCACCCGCAACCAAACTCCCAAGAGGAGAATGGAGGAGACTGCAGCATGGAGGATGCTTTCTCACTTTCCCTTTCTCTTTCTCTTTCTCCAGTGAGCACACAGGCCCTCTGGCAAATGTTAACAAAAGAAAGAAAGAACATTTAAGCTAAGACCTAAAAGCAGCCAGTAATGGTTAAAGACAGAGGGGGATGGGTGGAGTGGGGGCAGCCCAGGCAGGGGAAGGGCTGTGTGAAGAAGTCTTTGGTACAAGGAGAAGCATTCTTTTCAGGACTTTCCCAAACTAAGGAAGAATTAAACCACAAATAAATGAAGCAAACCTTTTACACCACATATTAAAAGAAAAAGCAGCACCTTTTATCACAGAAAATAGATTCATAAAATAGAAATTTAAAATAGGAGCAATTTTACATCTGGACAGATACACCTGTCTGGCCACTGTTGTCTGCCTAGAAGCCCCAGCAGGGAGGTGTCAGCTTCCTCAGGTCACCTGCAGCTACCTCCAGGCCTGGGGTAGGACTGTGGCTTCAGAGTCACAGTCTGGGCCCAGCAGAGGGATGAAGTCCAAGTGTGAAACACATACCCAAGACAGGAGCTGGCCCTGAGGCTGGGCCCACCTCTGGGCCAGGCATTGTGCAAGTGGATGAGTGACAAGATGTAATAGTCACAGCACCAGGGAGGCGTGTGAGAAAGAGGGAGACGATCCTTTCAGCCAGGGGTTCCTCAGACAGCTCCAGGGAGAGGGTAGTATGTGAAGATGGGCAACCCCTGAGAACAGAGACTGGGAGGATCCGGACAGCAGGAGCACAGGGGCTGGAGGGCACGGGTATGCAACGCGAGGTGTAGTGGAGCCGGGGGTGGGCAGAGTAGGGGGCTGGCAACAGTGCAGGGTAGGCACATGCTGCTGCCCCTGCCTCAAGGATGAAGGCTGGTCTTTAAGCCGGGACCGGAGATCTGGGCAAGCCTCAGATATGCCCAGCTGGCCCTACGGCAAAGGGTACTTGGTTCTCTTCCCTGACTAACATGGCTTCTCAAACGTCAGGGTCCTACGAATCGCCGGGACAGGTTGCCAGGGCCTCCTCTAGATGTCAACTAGGTGAACCAAGAAGGGCCCCAGGCTGAAAAACCCCAAGTCAGACGGCGGGTCTCAAGGGTCCCTCCACCTAACAGCTCCAGGACCTGGACTCTTGGCCTCCTACGGCATGAAGGAAGAGGCAGGCCCAGGTGCCCTCTCCTGACCACAGAGGAAATGATGGGGACACACCTTCAGGGCCCTGAAGGGGAGGCAGGAATAGAGCGATGGGGAGGGTTAGGCACAGACTGTCCCCAGGGTCATGAGACGTTCTCCAGGTCGTTCATACTGAAAGATGAGTGACGAGGCGCAGAGGGCCCACGAGGAAAGGAGGTGCGTGGGGCTGAGAGTACAACGTGTCAAATGCACACCCAACACGGCTAGGATGCAACGTGCTTGTAGAGAAGGAGGGTTGAAGCCAGTGTGGGCCAGGCATACACACAAACAGCCCTGCCAAGAAAGGACTGGGCTCTGTAGGCAAGAAGGAACCACTGCAGACCCCTGGGCCTTGCAGGAGGCTGGCAGTGCTTCGCAGCCAGTCACGGGACAGTACCTTGCCTTGCTGACCTCCCCACCACCAGTCTGCATCCTTTAAGATGGCCTACTACTGCACCCAAAGTCAGAACTTACATCACCTCTGTGGGACTATGAAGTCAAAGCAAGGCGAGCGGTTTGGTGGCTTGCTTTGTGTGACACAACTCACACTAAGCCAGGAGCCCTCTCTTGGACCAGCAGAGCCAGGCATGAACTACGGTGATTAGGAGAAGTGGGAACTGGGGGGAGGCAGGTGGGTCCAGCCTGGGATAAGCTGGCCCAGATCATATCCCACACCTGGAGAGCTTTGTCTTCTGATTCACTTGGAGGAAACCTGTTTCTCTAAATGTGTTTACGACCCATGAGGGGCACCAGGAGGGGTAGGGAGAAGGGGGCACAGAGAGCAGGGAGGACTCCCTGGGTTTAGGTTGACTGGATCCGACTGAAACACCTGAAGGGCTATGAGAAATGTCACCACAACTGTAACACTTCAAGGGGCCTCACCGAGACTCTGTCCAGCAGACGTGCTCGGGGTGACTACTCATGCCTTCAGGTTCAAAAGTCAAAGGCTGAGGGAACCAGCAGTTAGCGTAATGGCTATGTCGCTGGACTCCCACGTAGTCGACTGCGGTTCGTGTCCCGGACCTGGTGGCTTAAAACTCATGCCGGGCGCGTATGCGTGCGTGCCCAAGATCCC